AATGCGATCCTTGAATTAATCTTTGGAGCACTGAAGATTGCTTCCTTTGTCATCTCCCGGCTGTTTAGGGAAGATTAAGCTTAATGAAAATCTGTCGATACTTCTTGCATATGTTCAGGTGGCCCTGCCACTCATTCCCCAAAGTCAGAGCACGCTGGTCTCTGTCTCTCAGGACTCAGGAGTGCAGTGAAGTTCGCTGTTGGCAGTTGGTAGATGTTGAATTGATAGAACAGGGAGGGACAAATTCTCAATTTGTGAAACTCCAAAGCAGAAAGTATTGATGCTCCCTACCTTGTGAATTCTTTCCCAGAGACACAGAGAAAAGGAATGCAGGAGACCAGAGAAGATGACCTCGAGCTCTCTCTGCTCATCCCAGTAAAGATTTCTCTCTAGATTCTTTCCAGACTGGCAGACAGTCCGCCCTGGGGCTTTTCTCACTTACTTTCCCTTTAGGAGGACAGTGAGTGAGCAAGAGCAGTGCTCTGCGTACTCACCCATGGAGATGCTTAGAGAATTCTTTCTCCATGCATGTAAATTTTTAATTCCGTTTTCACAGAAGGGCTCAATTTGTTCCTTATCGTCTCCCCATTGAAGTGTCGATGAAGAGTTCCTGGAAGATGGATCTCTCAGAACTCAATTAGGTGAAATGCCAGAAAGTGAGAAAGACAGAGACTCAACAGATAGGACAAGAATGTTTGGTGCATTTGGATGATCTGTAGAAACTCTGACCAACCTCAAAGTGACCAATTTGCTGAATAACCAGTCCTCTCCTTTTCTGTGAAACTAACTGCTGCCCCCCACCTCCATAACCCCACAGCTTGAGTACTTACTGCTTGGCGGGTCACCTTCACCTGCTGCTCCCACCCAGTTGAGTTATTTGCTTATTATTACTATAATAAAGCTTTTCTGTTTCTCATATTTGTGCACAATTGGAATCTCTTTTTTTTTTAATACCACTATTCTGCTACTTCTTCTGAGAACACGGGGATGAATTTCACTTTTTCATAAAAGTTCCAGAGGATTTTCGAGCTAGTTTTGGTCTACCCCCCAGACATCTCTCCTCCTTTTCCCTGGAAGATTGGAACCACGTTCTCAACCCCTCTGCCAGTCAAAGACCACATTCTCTTTGGTTTCGTTCATTATGTGCTGATAGAAATTATGTGTAACCAAGGTTTCTGAGACCTAGTGGTTTTCCTGGGGCAAAAATTCCCTTGAATATTTGGACAACAAGAGTTGAAGTCCCTGTCCCTTTGTTACTTTTCCACGGGGTACCCCTCACCTGATAACTTCTAGGATTTCCCAAAGCACATTTCCATGTTCTACCAACATGTCCTGGTGGGTATATGTGGCTTATGCCAACTTGAAATTGGCTTGTCCATGCTCCAAGCCATTTGCTCAAATAGGTCATAGACCTCTCCCTTATTTCTCCAAAACAAAAATGAGTTTGTTCACTTAATAAAAGTTAGCAAAGGCTCAAGGGTAAGAGAAGGACTACAAAGAGATGCTCCCAATTCCTTTAGAAATAGCTCCTCTGAGTGAGATGGATTTGGTTTCACTCTTCAGAATGTGGGTGCATTTTGTGTCTGTTGTTTTCATCATTGGAGTATTAGCCAAAGTTGGGGGATACAAATCTAACATCCTATTGCAATAGAATCTTCTATAAGCAAATATATAACCAAAGGGCCATATACGCCTCCCAAGAAAAAGTAAATACAATTTTAATCTGAAAAAAAATGTCTTTAACTGCAGTGGTACTTTCTGTGTCAATGCATTCAATTATTCTTACCCTTGCATTCAGGTTTACATTGTCGTTGAGGCAAAAAAAAAAAAAAAGGTTCTGCTCTTGAGAATCGGCCAGGAGACGAGATGCCCATGTGAAATACCCTGAGAGCATTGTTGCCCATCTGTCTCTCAGAGCAGAAGGTCCTTGATAAATACTACTCATTGTGATGAATACAAAGGAGGCAGGTGGCATGTGTCCTTCTCTCAAGAGTCTGGGAGTCTATACCTCTTCATCCATTCCTTATCATTCATTGATTGTTTGCACTTCATGGTAGATTTTATACCAGAGGCTGAGAATCTAGAGACAAGTGAACCAAGTCCCTTTTGAGACTGGCTTCATTCACTTAGCATAATCATTTTGGAGAATCATCCAAGTTGTCTGTATGAATAGCTTGTTCTCTTTTATGCTGAGTATTATTCCATCTTAGGGGTGTACCACAGTTTATCACTTCTTATTCTTATGCTTCTAATTGATTTTTCTTGTCTAATTCCATTGGCTAAGACCTCCATTATAATATTGAACATTAGTGTATGGGCATGCTTGCTTTGTTCCTGGATATGGCTTCAGTGTTTCCCAGTTAAGTAAGTGAGATACTTGATTACAGTAGTATATAAGATGTATTTGTGTGTGTGTATATGTGTGTGTATAATCCTATTAAGCAGGTATCCCCCAATCACTATTTTCTTGAGAGTTTTTATCATGAATGACTATTGAATGTCGTCAAAGCCTTTTTAAAAATCATCTATGGGAATAACTTGTGATTCTTTTTCCTTAAATCCTTTTACAATGTCGACGAAAATAATCCATAACCAATCTATAAATGAAAATTTGGGAGAGTTTATTCTGAGCTAAAATGTGAGGACCATGACCTGGGGCCTTTCTTCCAGAAGGAAGAAAGGGCACCGAAGAAGCGGGGTGTGCAGAGTGGTTATATACTATACCCCCAAGAGGATGTTTCACATATGATTGAAATGTCCCTTTTACAGTGTCACGAGACTGCTCTGTCGGCACAGCGATTGATGGAAACAGCAGGTAGGTCTGCTGTCTCGGTGACACACAGGGTGGCAGGTCTGTTGTCTTGAGCTGAGTGGTCACAGGTGAGCTGGGTGGTCAAAGGTGAGTGCAGCAATCAGTCCCTAGCCTAAGGAAAGATGCTTATCCCTAAGGAAATGCCAATGTGGGGGGAAGTTGCACCTTTATCTTAAGGGCATTTGTTCTTGCCATAGTAAATGTTTAAAGCAGATATACAATGCATGCTCAATGGCCACAGTCAGGCCCTTTTTGGAAAAAACAAAGTCAGGCCGAATTAGGTTTACACCAAATGTCTTCCTCATATACTCCAATAGATCCTATTGCTTGCCATTTCTATCTGTCAACAAGATGAATGATATTAATAGATTTCCAAATATTGAATCAATTTTTCATTTCTGTTTTAAATTCCACTTGGTCATAATACATCACATTCTTAATGTGTGTTGGAATATCCTTGCTAATATTTTATTTAGTATTTTTGTATTGATATTCATAAAAGATCTTGGTCTTGTCGACATAAATAATCCATGAACAATCATAAATCAAAATTGGGTGAGTTTATTATGAGCGAACCCTGAGGACCACACAACTGAGAGAGTCCTTTCACAAAGGAATGGAGCACTCCAAAGAAGTGGGGGTGTTCAGGGTGGTTGTATACCATCAAAGAGCATGTACCACATGTGATTGGAATGTCCCTTTTACAATAGTCATGAGATGGCTTTGCTGGCACAGCAAGTTGGTGAATGCAGCAGGTTGGTGGTTGCAAGGTAGGTGGTCACAAGGTGAGCACAGCAGGTCAGCAATCCATCCTTAGTTTAGGGAGAGATGCTCATCCTCAGGGAAATGCTGATGTGGGGGAAGTTACATCCTTATCTTTAAGGGCATTGTTCTTGTCTTTGGGTCACAGTAAATACTTAAAGCAGATACAGGCCATGTCAGGCCCTTTTGGAAAAACAAGGTCAGGCCAGCTCTGTTTTAACCCCAATGGCTTCCTCATATACTTCAATACATCCTATTGCTTGTCATTTGTTTATCAGTCTATAGTTTCACCTCTTTGTCCTGTCTGTACCAGGCTTAGATATCAATATTATATTTGTTTTGAAAAAGCAATTCAGAAATTTCCCTTCATTTCAATGCATTGGAACTGTCTCGACTTTAAAGATTTGGAAGAATTTTCACGCAGAACAATCTGGCCCTTGTGCTTACTTTGTGTTGTGGTTTGTTAATAGCTTTGTCTATTTCTTCCATCTAAATTGGTCTATTTAAATTTTCTTTCTGTAATGGAGACAACTTTTGTTACCAGCATTTCCCTTGGAAATTATCCATTTCATCTAGGTTTTCAAATTTATTTGCAAAGGGCTTTTAAATTTTTAAAATTTCTTCTATTCAATAGTTATTTCCTCTTGTCATTTTGAAAATTTTATCTGTGCTCTTTCTCTTTTTTATTTTTATTTTTTGAGGAAGATTAGCCCTGAGCTAACATTCCCTGTCAATCCTCCTCTTTTTCCTCCCTGATCTAGCATCTGTGACCATCTTCCTCTTCCTCTACTTTAAATGCGGGACACCTGCCACAGCATGGCTTGACAAGCAGTGCACAGGTCCACACCCAGGATCCGAACCGGCAACCCCAGGCTTCTGAAGCAGAACATGCGAACTTACCTGCAGCACCACCGGGCTGGCCCCTTTTCTCTTTTATTCTTGAGCGAGTTACTTAGCACTTTGTCTATTTTAATTTTTTCAACAAATCAGGATTTTGAATTATTAGTTATCTAATGTTTTTTATTCTCTACTACACTAGTTTTGTTTACTATATTTTTGCTTTCTCTTGGTTTACTTTATTGTACTTTTTCTAGTGGGAAAAAGTTTTTGAAGTGAGAGTTTAATTATTTTCACTGAAAAAGTCTTTGGTGCAGTGCATTTTCCTGTTATCATCTCTTTAAAAGAATTCCATAGCTTCTGATATTTAGTGTTTTCACTACTAAGACTTCTAAGAAATTCTAAAGTCTCAGTTTGTATTTTTCTTTTCAACAAGAGCTGTTTAATAGAAAGCATTTTATTTTCCAGATCGAAGGACTATTTTTCAGAAGTAATTTCTGGTTTTATTGCATTGTGATCAGAAAGTGTTGTTTGTAATATTTTTATTTTATAGAACTCACTGATATTTGCTAATGTTTATTAATATATGATCAATTTTGGTGAATGTTCCATGTGCATCTGCAAAAAAGATGTATTCTCTGTTATCATTGCAAAGAGAGTGTGTTCTCTCTATGTCTGTGAGATCTACTTTCTTCGTTATGTTGTTTAATTCTCTGTCTCCCTTCTTATTTTTTGTCTACTTGATTTGACTCGTACTGATAACAGTGCATTGAAGTCTCCTATTATTAGGGCATTTTAGTCCACATCTCCTTGCATTTCCCGTACTTTTTGCTTCATAAACACGGTTGCTGTTATGTGACGCGTACTTTCTTAAGCATTATATCTCTGATAGAGGATTTATGAGAGAGCATAATGCGACAGAGACGTTATAACTCTATTTTTCATTCCTTTTGATGTCATAGCCGCCTTTGTAGGAAAGTGCTTTGAAGAAGCCTGTGGAAATGAGTCCCCTGAGGCTGTAAGTCACTGCTTCTTGTGGAACAATTTGGAATTCCTGGAAACAGCCTGCACAGCAAAATCGAACATACACTACATTGAGGGCACAGAGAGAAAACGTAAATTTGTAATTTGTCTGTGATTTTATAATCTTTCCTAGCTCCCATCCATCATTTCTAGGGAACAAATAGAACTAAACATTCCCTCTTGTTTAAACTGGTCCCACTGATCCGTTAAGAAGCCCCTTTTGAAGGTGTTCAGCTCTCTATTTAGGTGACTTAGAGAGCCCAGCCCCCACCATGGTGATTCTGTCCTTCAGTGGGGGATGGATGCCTTACGTGACATTGTGGTTTGTGGAGAAAGATGGGGTCCCCAGGCCTCAGCCCCTGCTCCTCTACTGCTGGGTGATGTCCCTAGTCTGTCAGGTCTCTGAAGTCCTGCTGGCCCCTGTCAAGGCAGTCCACAAGCCGGTGTAACCCAGAGTGAATTTCCCAGTTCAGGCAGTGCCCCTGGGGTGCTCCTTTGCTGAGCTCAGCACAACTCAGCTGCTGTTGGTCTAAAATTCCCTATGGCTGGTCGGGCTGCACCTCTCATGAGTCCTGTAACATCAGCTAGAGAGTGTGTTTGGCTGCACGTCAGAGAAACTTCCCTGCAGCGGCTCAACAAACGAAGGATTCAATTCTGATATAACAAGGAGTTACAGGTGGCGAGTCCAGAGCTGACGTAATTGTGCAAAGAACTTTTTTTTTCTCCCTACCTGCGCCACCATCCTTTGCAAATGACTTTTGTCCTCCAAGTGGCAAGATGGACCCTTCTCCTTTAGCCTCGTGTCTGAATTGCAGGCAGAAAGAAGATAGAAACTATAAGGAAGACAGAATGGCTCTTAAAACACAAAAGCAAAGTCAACCCAGACATGCCCACAGGACGTCTGCTTACATCTCTTCGTCATGTGGTTACGACAAATGCAAGAAACGTTGTGCGATTTAGTGTTTCACATGGGCACATGGGTCTTACAAGGCGAACTGTCGTTTTCTCAGTGAGCAAGAAGGGGCAAGTGGCTAGTAAGCAGGTGACTAGTGTGCACTCACAGGAAGACTAGAAGAAAGTCCTCTGGGCCTGATGTTCCTCTTGCAGTGCTTAGGGAAGGCCCAAGGACTTTTCAGGATTCCCTTGAGGTTCTTACTCTGACTTTTTTAGTTAAGTGGCCCACAGAGGAGGGAACAGGATGGCTCAAGAAGTGAACTCTGAGCTGCTGCTGGTAGCTGTTCCTCGTAAGATAATGCAGGAAGCAACATGAAATCTGACTTGGGGACATCGCAGTGGGAGATTATTTTCCCCCCAATTTCTCTCCAAAATGGGACTTTTCTTCTTCCCATTAAGAAGTCAGGTAGGTGGGTATCCAGCCCATCGTCCCTTTATATTTCACACATGCAACCATCCTTTCAAGGATTATGACCCACAGGAGAACAAAAACCTGAACATTGAAAGTTAGCGACTTTAGCTTTAGCAAATCAGGAAGAGGCAATGCTAGATATATTGATAGAAATTTAGTGAAGCTTTTATATTTAAATTAAGAGGTGGAAGAATTATAGCCAGCAAATATTGGAGTTACTATCAAATCCTTTGATAGTTAATAAATGAAAAAAAAAAAACATACCGATTAGCATCAGTAGAGTTATACTTTCTTAGTTTCATTGGTTAAGCATATTCCACTTTCTGGGGAAGTTGAAAGTTAATTTCAGAGCAGCATAACATGTCAACTGAAACTATGTCTCCCAAATAATTGTGCCTTGAGTCAGACAACAAATAATCTCTATGGCTTTCTCTGTATTTGTATTCGGTAATTCTCCGCATAGCTCTTTAATGTGGCTATAGAGTTGGAGTCTGGGGGTTTATTAAGCACAGACTGGGAGCAGACGGAAGGCAACTGATGAATGCATTTGAGAGCCTGTTTCTCCAAGAAGGTAGACCGTCCCAGTGTAGCCCTCGAGTAAGATTGGTTCCTGCATAAGGAATCCTGTGTTACAACCATTGATTTCTGCTTGGAGGAAATGCATACATTATCATATCACAACATTACAGACAATGTTATTAACTCCATTTTGATTTTTCGAGATACTTCAACATTCACTCACTTCCTCAGACCGAAAATCTAGGAATGGCTCTTGATTCCTCTCTTTCCTTTATTTTCCATTCCCAACCCATTAGTAAGTTCCCTTGGCTCCGTCCATCTTCTCTCCATCTTGAAGACCATCATTCTAGCCCCAGCTACCATCACCACCCATGCCTCAGTTGTCTCCTAACCAGTCTCTCTACTTCCTTGTTGCCCCCTCAGTCTATTCTGTAATTGGAGCAATCTTTTAAAAATATCAAACAAACAGAAGAGAGATGTTGCAGAAACTGCCACTCTGGCTTCCGCAAAATCTGTAGCTAATCCCCATCCCTACACACTTTATGCTGAGGTTTTAGCTAATCCAGAGATTCACAAAACCATCCCTAAAGTAGAATTTCCCACATTTGACAGCCAGAATCCTGGAGTGAGAGAAGTAAATTTCCAGCAGCTGAGAATATTGCATGCAGGATGGCTAAGATTATCTAAGGAAAAATGTGGGCAGGACTTCAGATTATTATTTGGTTATCATCACCATAGAAGACTCCAACCTAAGGCTGTGCTGAGGGCTCTGGTTGGCTATAGAGAGAGGGAGTAGGAAAATCATGAGAGGTGAAACAAAGGGCACCAAAGGCCAGTTCCAACACTGCAACAATTTGCCAATGTGGGCAGCATGTGGATGACGATCTATGCGATAGATTGCAGATATGGCCCTGAATGATGCCCATCTCTCTGTACACATGCTTCTCTGGGATGTGGATTTGCAGCTCCTCCCATCACAATGCTGAGCATATTTCTCCAGCCTTTGAATCTGCCTGGGCTGTGATTTGTTTTGGACAATAGGAAAGTAAAACCGTGATGTAAGCAGAGACTTCAAAAGTGCTGATGCGTTCTGGCGTGCCTTCCCTTTGCTCTTCAGAACTCTGCAACTGCCCCATGAAGAGGCCTGGACTAGCCTCACTGATGATGAGAGAAACAAGGTCCACTTATCTCTGTCACCCTGGCCCACCCAAGAGCCTGCTAACTACCAAACATGCCCATGAGGCTGTGAAAAATTATCCAGTTGCATCCTGAACCACTAGCTTACCACAGGTATATGAGCGAGTCTGGCTAAGCCAAGTTGACCCAGACCCAAGAACTGCCCAGTTAACCCACAAAATAGAGAGCCAACTAAACAGTTGATGTTTTTGGTGACTTAATTGTGGGGTGGTTTGCTAAACCAGCAAAAGCTCAACTATTGTGGTTAAGGGAGTAGAAGGAGGTTATGTGACAGAACCGGATGAGGTTGTCTGTTGAACTTGTTGGTTATAGTGAGGCCACTAGAAGCAGAGAAATTAGGGACCTGAATGAGGAATCAATTACTCCCACGTTCCTCCTTCCCAGTCCTCTCCCAGGCTGAAGAGAGGGGCAGAAAATCAACCAGAGAGGCTCCACCTGGCTTGGTGTGTCCACATAGTGGGAAATAGGACATAAGTACCCTCATCGAGCCTGGGATCAGTCAAGATAGTTCTACCTCTCTTCTTCTTCGCTGTTCTACTGCATCATGAGAAGAAAGCATAGAGGGTCGATGGAGAAATGACAGAGCAGGGCAAACGAAGAGAAAATGAGAGAGGAGGGTGGAAATGGTTTGCTCTTGCTCAGACAGGAACCCTCCTGGCCTGGGGAGCCAGGGCACCCTCTCACCACGGCAGCTCCTGGGTTCGCTGGGGTTGGAACATGAGCTGTGGTATTGGGCTGCCATTGTAGTTTGAATTCCTGTAGATAAAGAAACATAACTATGTCATTTTAGGGAAACGGAGAGTGACTGAAAACCGCAACCTCCTGTAGCCAACAGTTTCCTTTTTCCATAAACTTGCTACTAGATTTCTTGCCCCTACTTCCCAAGATGTCTCCTCAACTCTCCATTTTCAGATTGTTCCTCTTTCTTTACACAAACATAAATGCTTCACGTGCTTCCTCAGCACTGGCTGTGCATGCCCTTCCCCCACTCTATTCAGTGAATTACTGCTTTGAACGCCATTTATACGTGGCCTGTAGCCTAGACTCTCCTCAGAGCTCTGAACTTTTATACCTCATGCAGCTTCTCCATTTGGCAATTCCACATGCATCTCAAACAGAGCTCAGCAGAAACGGAACCCTTGACCTCCACCTCCACCTTCATCACTGCCCATTTCAAACAGCATCACCATTCAGCCAGTGGCTCAGGCAGAATCTTGGGGTCACCTACAACTCTTCTGTCTTTACCTGCTCGTCCATCTAGCACCAAATCCTCTTGCTTCTACTTCCAAAGAATGCAAAATTATCCTTTTCTCTTCATCTTCATGTTAATCCAACGCACTGTCATTTGTTTGCAATGTAACAGGCTCCTAACTGATCATCTCATCTTCAATCTCTTTTCTATTCTATGATCAGATGCCTTTTTAGAACTAAAATTTGATTCCTTTTCTTGTTTAACTTCTTTAATGGCTTTCTATTGTTTTTTTAAAAAAGTAGTTGAAAGTCCTTGGATGGTCCTAAGACCCTGCGTGATCAATTACTCTCTCTCAAAAGGCTTTATCACCACACTGGCCTCCTCATTGCTCCCCAAGCTCCTTCCAACTTCCAGACCCCTGCGGCCCTGCTCCCTCCCCCGGGAGCACTCCTGCTCCAAGCCAGTGCCAGCACACTCCTGCTCAGCCCTCAGCCCTCAGCCCTCTGACACTTCTCCAGGGAGGACCACTCCAACTTCCCCACACAGCTCACCCGCTCACCCATCTCGATCCCTGAAAGCTTCACATTTGCTTATAAATTCTATAAATGGTCAAAGGAATCATTTATTTGTACAAGTATCCTCTGAACAGTGACCCTGCAAGAGGCGTTCATTTGTGAGGCTCAGCCTTGAAAACAGATTACAGCCTAAAATCAGCAAAGACGGGGAACAGGAACCAACAGGAAATAGATTCTGAGAGTAAGTCGGCCAGGAGGGTAGATACAGACCCAGGGGAGCGGTCCCCTCTCCACCAAATCACACATTCTCTTGCAACCCTCCACCCACCCACAAACACCCTTATTCTCTTACCTGGAAAATCTGGGTCCTGCTCACTCCTCTGACTTTGAAGGTGGTGCTAAGCCAGGACACTGAGACGACAGAGGAGAGAGGAAGTGAGGGGAGGAGCTGTTCAAACTTGCTCCTGCAAGAGACTGGCCACCTTCTCATCTAGCAGCTCTAATAGAACTTTCTGCAATGATGGAATTGTATTGTGCAGTCCGATATGATAACCTTTGGCCACATGGGCTTTTGAGCACATGAACTGTAATGAGTGTGACTGCAGAATTGGATTCTTAATTTTACTTCATTTTAATTAATTTAGAGTTAAAGCAAAATAG